GCGCGTTGCACACGGAGGTAAAACGAGCCTTCCATCAACACCAGGTTCTCGCCAGCTCGTTGCAACCATTTCGAAGGAGGGGGGACAAATCGTCAATAAAAGAGTGCAATTTTTGCTTACTTCCGAATCTGTCCGAAACCGTCGTCTGTTCGCGATGTGGCTTTGTGTTCTGGCCATCTGTTCGCTTGTCCACTGCCACCCATCCGCGTTCTTCTGTCTGGTGCGCGACGTCGTCCAACAAACTGACGAACCTAGCGCAAACACGGCTCCGCGCACTCCCACAGCCCAACGCCGCTCCCAGACGCGACGCGACGTCGATGCGATCGACGGACGACGCGGTTCACAGTTCAGCTCGCCTCGCCTCGCTTCGCCTTGTTCCGCACCGGCCGGCCGGCAATCGTCGCCGTCTTCTGCTGCGTTCCGCACCGCGCACCGAACAGCGGCTTTCTGCCGGTTGCCACGGCAACGCCGCTGCGCAAGTTTGTCTATTGATTAGTGATGACTCATGACAGAAATATGCTGCTGTTCCAACTACGCCTGTCCCAGTCACACGCTTGCGCTGGCCTGGAAACTTTCTTTCAACCATGTCGTCGCTATCGGTTCGTTCTTTCGGCTGATGACGGCGCTCGTGAACGATCCTAACGATACGGTTAAGTTAGGAAAATTATGCAAATTATCTTTATAAGGCACACGTACCAAATCACGTGCAGGAAACTTATTTTTTATGACGTCATCGTTTCTTCATTCATGGTGTAAAGTACTGGTTAAAATTTGCTGTCTCATGTCGAAGCCCTGGCCGGCGAAATACGAAAAATCTGGCACAAACAACTCAGTTCGAGGCGTAGTTGAAAAATCATCCGACTCGCTCGTCCGTCGTTCTCGTTGCTTCGTTTGTCGTTTGTGTGCGTGCTCGAACAGCGAACGCCCGCAATCATTCTCACGTGACGTAAACCGTTAGATTTGTGTATCATCGATCGATAGATGACTCATTTATGGCCAACTTGTATGATGAAGATTAGAAGGGGCACGTTGACCTTCCGAGAGACTAGTTATTTTGTATTTTGTTCGATCACTAACGGATCCGTCGTTTATAATGTACACCTGACGATCTCAACCTTTTCGAAGCAAAAGTACACGCCATTACTATATGCTGGTAGTGTCAAATCATCGAATTTCGCAGCATTATTATTTCTTTTTAAAATATCCCTTCATACAGCTTCATGGAAACAGGCAACATCTATTGTTTGCCCAACCCGATTGCACAGGCCACTATTCTTAACTGATTCAAGTAAATTTGAAGTTCTTTTTATTGTGACCTTAGCCTAACAGGATTCAGTTGTACATTACCAGGATTTGTCTGACCATTGCAGAAAGTGCTGCTTCAAAGTGATATTAAGGAACGTTCTGTGCCTCTGCAAATATTATTTCCTCTGTCTACTTTTGTTATGCCCTCCAGCGCTTCGTTAGTGCACGGTTCCAAAGAGATGAATAAAATTTTCAATATATTTCTATGCTCCTCTTAGTGTTGTCAAACCAAGAAAATCTGATATTACGGTTGATGTGATAGTTTTCTAACACTGGTGCCGTTCTTGTCCCTGCAGTTCTTTCAACTTCCGGGATATTAAACTACTTTTTTGGGAGCTATCTAGACGAGCGGCAAATGTGTAAAGACTACGTGAATACCGTAAATGCGGCTGCTTGCAAATGAAGTGGATTGCATTTATAGCAGGCAGACAAATTTCAGTTGCTATGGACATTACTTATGAGCACGGTACATGTGACGTAGAAATAAACACATGGACCGTCCAGACCAGTGCTATTGTACTGCGAGATATGGAATCGAGCCTTAGAGCGAACCTGACTTGTTGCCAGTATGCGTACTAGCCGACAGACTGATTCAGGATGCAAACGGTATAAATAAGCTTTCTTCATTTGGTCTCCTTGCTGCAGCCTGCGTGTTCTTCATTGGCAGTTTACGTGTACTGTTAGATGACATGCGTCTTGGTAGAATGCCGTTGCTGAGTTGGGGTTGAATTTTTTAAATCGTGGCTGAAGGTTATGATTTCGAGCGGTCTGCTCATAACGGTTTTTAGCCACTAAACTTCGTTGTTCATTGATTTCTTTCGCAAGAAATTTTTTACTGGTCATTCATCATCAAAGTCCCGTCGCGTGCGCAGTCATTTTCCACTCCCCATTATGTGACCAGAAGTTGGGTTTGAAACGAGCTATAGCTGTTGCTTTGGCGCTTAAATGATGAGGACACGGCAGAAAGATGCCGAACAGACTTTGAAATATAGAGTAAGTCAAGTCACTACAGAAAGAAAATGTAACGATTATACATACATGCGCCGGAGGTGCACAGCATACCCTGCGAATCATTTCGGTACGGTCTTACGTAACAAGCAATCTGACGTTCGTACGCGTTCTATTTCCGGCTGTAAGCGACGAAGTCGGTCAGCATTTTTTCTTCGCATCATGTGGCTGCGCGTCAGTCAGTCTCTCGCTTCGTCGAAACTG